CACTTCTTGAGAGATTTCTTGGAATCTTGACTTGACTTCCCCAGATGTATTGGACAGTGATGTGTCATTCCCCCTTTCTTAATAGGAGATTTGTTGTTGGAAGTGCCATCCTATTTGAAGTGATTTTGTTCACTGAGAGAGCTTTCGTTCGCTGGATATTCCATGTGAATTTCTCTGTTGTCAAACAATTAGCCATATGCAAACAACGATATTCAAATAATGCAAAGTTTATTCTTGTCTTGAAGTTTTGAAAATGCATTTTAGCAAGATAAAAGAATTTTTTTGTAATAAAATTCAACTCTGGGTTTAGATTAAGCCTTACAGGAGTTAGGATACCTTTTGTAACAGTATGCTTTCGAACTAACTCATGCTTCAATTAGGACTTTGAAAGGGTTGTAATGTGGCTTGGTTCGTGGTTTAAGAAACAAAGGATAAGGCTCAAAGTGTATTTGTACCAGCCCGTTCTTCGTGATGTTCTTCAGTCCTAAACTTAGTTAATTGTGCGTTTGAACTCCAATTGAGTATGAATGACGCTTTAGTGATGGTTCAGAAATTTGGAAGTTTATTTGTTGGAAGGCAGTCATTTTTGCCATATTTTCCATGTTGTTTGAGGATTTGTAGTGTCCTCTTTTTGATTTGTTATCCTTGATTTTTTCCAGACTGTTCTTGTTTTGAGATTACGGTCAGCGGGATGCCCCAGTTTTTCTTAAGTCTCCTTCATATGTTTTGACTTAGTGGGATTTTCTTTTAAGAGATAATGACTGCCTATTTGGTAGGGAATGTAGCGGTAGAAATGTTTAAGACTAAGCCATTGGATTGACTTGACTTATACAGATCAAAATAAAAATCACCACCGTGCTTTATTGTTTCCAAAGGAATGGGAAAAGAGCGAATAACCCAAAAGAGGGGGAAAGATTCAAGGTAAGGGGGTTGGTTATGCAAAGAGAAGGTATTAGCACCCTAAACATCTACGGTACTCCACAGGAACCTCTTTGTAAAATCTGTATATTTTAGCTATAAAATGTTATATAAAAATGGATGGTGGAGGTGAGAAAAGAAATATATATTTTTATGGTTTTTGCACCCGCCGCGGTTGTAAACCTTTAGTGCCTACGTACCACCTTTCGTGCAATAGGGATCAGGGTACACGTAGTTCCTCTTTTAAAAATTTCAAAACACAAGTGTGTTGGTTAATTTTATGAGATAAGACATTATTGTCATTGTTCGTGTGGAAAACATACTTACTACCCACAATCATGAGAAAGGAGAATTTACATCATCTAAAAGTGGAGGATATGTCTTGGATTTTAAAATCAACAATGCCTCACTCAACACCCAAGTGGAAAATATCTCTCTTCACTACATATTGTAGAAGTATAGTTGTTTGCATCACTACAAGGATTGACAAGAGTCCAATCTTTTTGAGAAAAGTTTAAAGATAAAAGCCAAAGTGGCAAAGTGGTTTGAAATGAGATTGATTGACTTTTATTCTTCTCACAAAAAAAATGTCAAAGTATTATTAAGTTTGATTGAAGTTTATTTATGAAAAATGTTTTGAAAATGCAAGGACATAAGTCCAAGTTTATTATGAAAGTGTTTCAAGTTTTTTTTTAAAAGAACAAGAAGAGTTTTCAAAAGGAGGGAGAAGATTTTTGAAATTAAAGAAGATGAGAGGAGAAGAAGAGACTATCATAAAGCATAAGGTAAAAGCTAGGGATAGGAACCATCTAACCAACAAGAAGCCAATGCTTGACACTATGATCCAAGATAGAATTCCCATTCTTTGGATTAAAACCAAGCAGCAAAGATACTAGACCTCTTTGAAAGAACCAAACTTCAAGTGTATTAAGTCTTTACAAAAATTGGGCAGAGTAACGGCTGTATACGGGTGAATTCTAGATTACGAACAAAGAGTGTAATCACAATAACCTGCACACAAAACAAACAAACAACCCAATGTATTGAGGTAAACCTCAAGATCTCTAGACAAAATAATCAGATAAGGTCACAAGGTCTCCAACCATAGGCCAAACTTTCTAATCCTAAGTCCAAGAAGTCCAATGCTCCATAATGCCAAGGATAGTAACCAAATATTCCAAGTATCATTAAAGATTTTATGGTTCATGTTGATTATTAGGTGTTTTGAAAAATAAAAGTAAAGCTCAAGTGAGCAAAAATAAAAATGACAAGAAAATAAATACTCAAATGAGCAAAGATGAAAATGACATGAAATATAAATGCTAAAAGTAAACAATGCATAAAAATAAAATGGGGCATATAATAAAAATAAAGGATAAAGTCAATTATTAGTGATTAGTGGTTAGTTGGATGATCATCTTGAAACTTGCATTTGGAACTCATTAGAGGATTGGTAGAACCAAAGCCTCCACACAACAAGTTGCATTTGCTTTTTGTCAAGTATATCATCCATTTGGAATCCTCATGAGTACCATTTATTGATCAACGATGTTTAAGTGATCCGCGTTGACCAAACACTACAAGAAAATTGGCAGATTGCGACAGGTATTTTTGTAGATCACGACGGTTAAAACCGTCGCAATTTGCTTTCCACGACGGTTGCTTTACCGTCGCAGAAGTGTGTGTCCCCAACCTATTTCGCGACGGTTACAAAAACTGTCGTTCAAGTTTACGACGGGTTGATACCGTCGTGACTATCTTTTGAGTTTCTTTTAATTATTGATGGCGACGGTTCGATACTGTCGTGAATATCTTTTGAAATTGATTAAATTGTTTATGGCGACGGTTCGATACCGTCATGACTTTTGTTGATTACGACGGTTCGGTACTGTCGCCATGACTTTTGTTTATGTCTTGATTTTTTTTTATTTTTCTATTATATATATTTTTTATTTAAATTATTATCTATGTAAAAAATTTTAAATATAGTTTTTTTTTGTGTTATTTTTTTCTTTAAATTATTTCTTCTTTAATATATTTATTTATAGTATTATTTTTTGTTTTATTTTCTATCACTTTGTAATATAGTAAAAATAATTTCAATAAAAAATATTTAACATCAAATAAGCATTATAATATCCAAAAAAATGTGTGTTCCATAATCATGTAAAATGCGAGTTCCATAATCATGTCAAGTAGTACAAAAAACCCAAAATATATCAATTTCTAATTTTATAATAATAAGTATCATTATGCCAAAAATACATGAGAAAGTTCACAATCTAATTATCTCGATCATAGCAAAGTCTAATTTGTCCCCCCTGAAGTTCCATTATCTCCAATACGGTAGCTAGACTCAGATGAACGTCTACCATCAACAGGATCAGAATTGTATTCTTTAACAAGAAGTGGGTGATCACAAGCCTGACGGAGACGTAAAAGCATCAAAATAATATTTGCATAGTTTTGATTCACTGTACGACAGCAACATATGCCTGCAAATTACAAGCATTACTTTTCAAAATTACAAACTGAGAACATCCATCAGTGTAGAAATATCAGATGAACAAAATCATATAATTCGTAATTGACATGCCCACTGTCAAAATAAATTTCTAGACACTAATTTAAAAAAGAAAAGACAAACAGTATCATTACAGTATGTCCAAGTTAATATAAGAAATTTGAAAAGAAATAAACTTTAAATTGAGAACGTGAATCAGCTTCCAACTTTTTGTAGTATACCAAACTCCAAAATATTTAAAAGGTCCTAATGTACAATCCATAGCTACAAACTTATTAATCAAATTACTGATCTACACCATTCACCAGTCTTTCTGTACATGCATCTCAACGTATAAATTACGAGTATCATTAAAATCTTGCTTGATCTAGTAGTGTCTTTTACCTGCAACCATTTCAGGTCGGACTGAAAGCTCCCACCGTGATCCATTTCTGCTGCTATCAGCATCATTAGGCTTTGAAACTATTCTTGCCGTCACTGTTTGCCCAATTTTGTAGCCAGAAAATGGATTTTCCAAATCATTTGCATCATGTACCTGTCAATAAGTAGGTACCAAACTATTGAGGAACATGTTAAAATAGTTAAATAGACAAAATAAAAGAGATAGGCATTGCTGCATTATTAAGGTTACGGCCATGTGGCCTTGGTCACAACTTCCTGCTCCAGAAAAAGCACATCATATCAGAGTAAGGCCGCATATATCTTACACACTCAAAACAACAGAGCCTGCTCATTTTATACATCAAATCTACAACTTAAAATGCTAGTTCAAATATTGGCAGCAGTAGATGCAGTAGAGTTACCTCTGTTATGTGAACCCTGCCGTGTAAGCCAAATCCAAACTTCAGTTTCAGCTCAAAAGTTTTTATGTCAGTAATCTGGACAAAATCAAGAATAAAATCCAAGAAACAAGGTCAACATATTAGTTTTCAGATGTAAGTTCTCATAAAAACTATTATATCAACAAGAGTAGGAAAAAATTAACAAGCTCTACAATCGGGAGACATTGTGTTATCTTAAAGAAAAAGCAGCAGTGAGAAACCTTGCATGTTCTACAATGTCACATTCATAAAAAACAAACAATAAATAAAAAATATAGATTGAAATTAATGATAGTTCTAAATTGCCTTGCATGTTCCAGTAAAAAAAAACTGTGCATGTTACATGTACAAGACCTTCTAATAAATAAAAGTGTTATCGCTGAGAAACTTTCAAAATTATGTCAGGGTTACAGTTATATCAAACTTCAGTTACATTCAACGCAAACATGAAGGATTGAATGCCAACAAAGAATGACCTTATCAAGAGATACTATGCAACCAATTACAAGAAAAAGAGAAGGTTTGAATATTATCGGGACCAGAATATTCGCACATCTTCCTAGTTTCCAAACTCTAATTTGGTGTTGAAGATCAACTTTCCCCTACACAGGTCTTCTTGCTTGAGTTTCAAGGACAAAATCATCATTCTCTCACACCCTTACCCGCCCTTTTCTTTACTTCCTACCTATGTGCATTTGACTAACATATATTTGACCCTAATGAAGTGCCTGAAGTGTCTACTTCAGATCCTCATACTCATTTTGTTTTAGACCAGCATGAGTGAGAGGTTTGTGAAGACTACCAACAAGTGCGGAAAAAACTCTATCATCAGGTATTAGGCCCATTTTTATCATCTCATCATACAACTTAAATGCTTCATCTGCTCTCCCCTCCTTGGATAAACCTGAAATAAGTGATGTATACGTTGCGACATTTCCAGTTATCCCCTTTGACCTCATCTCATCGAAAATTTTAAGCGCCTCGTCTACCCTGCCAACAATACATTCCCCGTGTATTAGCGATGTGTATGTATACACATCTGGCAATAACCCCTTGTTTATCATTTCAGATTTTGTCAAATGTGCTAGCTTCACTTTTTCTTTCTTGCAATACACATCAATGAGAGTGTTATATGTAACAATATTAGGCACTTCTCCCTTTTTCTCCATATCCCTAAAGAACCTCTCAGCTTCAGCAAGGTTTCCTTCCTTGCAATATATCTCGATAAACATAGTGAAAGTCACAACATTTGGTTCCACTCCTTTCTCTACCATTGAATTTAAAGTACACTTGGCTTCGTCATACCTATGCAATTTACATAGCCCATTTGCAAGAATGTTGAATGTAAACACATCTGCATTGAATCCTTTCCTTTCCATGATCGTTTGCAGCCTCAAAGCTTCATCCATCATTCCTCTTTTGCAGTAGCCATCTATCATCGTGTTAAATATTATCATATTTAGGTCAATTCCCTTACTTTGCATCTCTTCCAACAAGATTTCCGCAGCTTCCATTTGACCAGCCTTACACACACCACCAATCAACGCGCTGTAAGTATGTGCATTAGGAGCAACATTTCTCTGAGCCATCTCATCAAACAACGCAAATGCCCTTTTCATATTTCCCAACCTACAATTCCAACTTATCATGGACGAATAAACATAAACATCAATTTCTATTTTTCTTTCATGCATTTCCTCGAATATCTTCTCCACTTCCCCAATATCACCAGAACTAGAATACCACTGAATCAAAATACTATAAGTCGCCACACTAAAAACAACCGGCTCCTTCTCCATCAACCTCAGTATCTCACCAACTCCACTTCGATCCTTTCTTCCAACATACGCATTCAACAACGTATTGTAAGTAAACACAGTCGGTTTCACAATGCTTTTAGTGACCATCTCATCCATTAACTCCTTAGCTTTCTCAACCTCTCCTCTCTTACACAAGCCATCAATCACAAGTGTCAAAGACTGAACCCTAATTTCAATTCCATTAGACTCAACCATCCGGCGGAAGAATCTAAGACACAACTCAATCTCACCACATCTCTTCAAAGCAAACAAAAGCACAAAACAAGACCTCTCCTCTATCACGAACCCCTTTTCCTCCACATAATCAAAAACCCTAACCGCCTCTGGAAACAACCTATTATCAGAACAAACCCTAAACAACATATCACAAAGCTTGTCAACAAAATGAAACTCAAATTCATCAAGCAAATCAACGATCCCCGAAACTGGGGAGCGAAATTGGGAATCAGTAACAACGGAATTCAGAATAGTCTTGATGGTGGCGAATTTGCGAGCTTTAAAGAGTCTAGAAAAGAGAATCAAATGGGCCTTGAGGTCAGGTTTGAGTGAATGGTTGGAATGATGGGTTTTGAGGAAGTGGAAAAAGGATAAACAGGAATGCGGTTGGAGAATAGGGTCTGAAAGAACACGGTAAGTAACATGGGGGGTGAAGGTGATGCAGGAAATGATGGAGTGAAGTTCGGTGTTATTGGGTTTGAAATAGTTGGGTTTAAATTGCAGTAAAGCGTAATAGACGAAGCGGGGTAAAGGATTTAGGGGGACGACGGGTGTGGTTACCGTCGTGCCCTTTCATAACTTTTGCATGTTTTTTAAAGGTTTAGGGGGCGACGGTTGTTTTACCGTCGTGATGTCTATTTTAGGACGGTTTCTTAACCGTCGCAACATTCATTTTAGGGCGGTAGGTGTATACCGTCGTGACATGGGTCCCTATATTAGAATTACGACGGTTATTAAGTAACTGTCGCAATTTTTGTGTCGTAAAATCCTAATTTTCTTGTAGTGAAAGGTGTTGTAGATCCATTAGAGGATTGGTAGAACTAAAGCCTCCACACAATGAATCTCAAGGTTATTGAATCAAAGAGATCAAATTAACATACTTGGGCTTGCAAACATAAGTTTGGGCCACAAATGATCATCTATTTGAATCGGGACAAAATTTAGCGCTATGTTTAGCAATCGTAAGTGGACTTATATAGAAGTCACACCTATTTTGAGGTCGGTCAATAGCAATCTATTCACCATTTGTTTTGAGACATGATATAGAGATCATGCTCTAATAACACTTAGTGCAATAAGAAAGGGATGAGATGAAGAGGGGTGGCAGAGAATACACAAATCACTTTTGAATTAAATTTAATCAAACTATTATTAAAATCATTCATCCATTTTTGTGGAGTTAGACTCAACATCATGGATCCAATGATGTTAATAAAGTTCATGATCAAAAATTTAACCGAAGATCAGCCAGAAAATAGTCACAAAATAATATTACATTGAATATATACAAAAAAGGTTTTAAAATAGAAATAAAAGAGAAAAATATCAATTATGTTCAAATTGATGAAGAAATAAAAAGTAAGTCCATAGAAAAATCAGAAAAGGACTCAAATGATCTTATAAATTTTCGGTAATTTTTTAAAGTCAGAAACTATTTTTAAAAATGAGAAGAAATGAGTAAAATAAACTAAAAATGATAAAAAATACCAAAGTCGGAAATAAAAAATAAGTGAGGTCACCAATATTTTTCACACTATCATTGGATCATTCCATAATTTTTTCAGAATTTAAAAATGCATAAAAGTATTTTTAAACATTTAAAATAATTCAAATAAAGTGAAAATTTATAAAAAATACCAAAACACAAAATTAAATTGTGAAAAAATAAAAATCAGAAAGAGAATAATCAAAAGTATTTTTTCAGAATTTTTCCAGAATTTTTGGACTTAAAATGAATTTTCTATGATTTTTTGAAGTTTAAAACAATTAAATATGAAAATCAGAAAAGAAAATAAAAGTAAAAAATATGTGGACCATTGGATGAGAGTCAAAACGCATTAGTAATCAAATCCAAGGGATCTGGCGCGCTGTGCATATCATGGTCATTAGTGAATAATACATAGGATCAATAATTAAATCGGATTTCAAAAAATACAAGTGGCGTGCCATCATTGGTTGGAAGATGACACGTTGGTCATCTTCAACTTCCAGCCAACGTGAATTGCAGGTCTCTCAGACTGTAAAATCAGAAGCTCAGACCTATGTCATTCGCTTCGTCTCTTCAAGACGAAGACAACCACACCTTCGCGACAAATTTATATAAATTGTAGCTCAAGCAATTTGGAAGGAAATTTTTGAAAAGAGATTTGAAATTTCATGGTCAAAACGTGTTTCCAGTAAAAAAACAAGTGTTGCGACTAGAACCAGGGAAATGAGAGCATCACAATGATATCAAAGTTTTAAGAATTGATGAAGGAATCTACCTATTGAAGTTGAGTTACAGATCTCTGAAACTGGACTTCTATGGAGCAATATAGGGCACGATTCTTGAATGTAATTATATGGTTAGCTTCAGGGAAGATCAAGGAAGGTGAATTGATGGGAAAATTGGATTGAAAAAGGCTTGAGAATGGATTTCGAAGTTGCTGAATTTTGAGTTATGGAACAATTTTGGTAGGGTGATTCTGGCTATCCAAGCTTGAGGAAATGAATGGGGGATGACCCTCTATTTATAGGGAATCAAATGGAATTCCCAAGCGTGTGAAATGATGAAGTTTGGAGGGAAATCGTGTGAAGTTGCAAACAAGAAAAGTGTGACTTCTAATTTGATTAAAACTCATCCAAAATGCGCATTTTGCTATGCTAATCACTTATGGAACTTCATTAAACATGTTTAGAGGCATAAATGCGCAGAAACAAAGTGTTTAGAAGCCAAATCAAGGATTTCAAACTTCTGAGTTGGGGAAAAATTCAGTTTCAAATTGCCAACTTCTGACCAATGGTATTCTCAGTTCAAGGGGTCTTAGGGCATGATTCTTGATGCTTTAGAAGGATGAGGTTACAAGCTTTGCAATGGAAAAAGAATGGGATCAAATGGATGCTTGAGCTAAAAGTTGCATTGAGTCAAAGTTGGAGAAAAAGGGTTGACTTTCCATACTTAGAAATATTTCAATTTTTTCTTCAAAAATGACCTATAATGTTTTGCATCCAAACATGGCCTTCCTCTTGGAATTTGGTCTTGACAAAAAAATATGGCATGAAATAGACCTCTTGAATGACATTTTGGGACTTGAACCAATCAAAATATCCAAAAATTGAGAGAGTTATGAATTTTTGAAGTTGGCAAAAAAAATCATGAAATGACCTATAATCTTTTGTGTCCTTAAGGAAACTTCCATACATTTTCTCACTTTTCACATAAAAGAAGGCATAAAGTTTACATCCTCAAGATCATTATGGAAAAATAATGTGCTAAAGGTGATAAAAATTGACCATGTTATGATCATTTGAAGTCACACATGGAAAATTAGGGATTCATCTGGAGGACTTGTAATCTTTCTTCTTCATCATGTTTCTTCCACATGAAAACTCCTTGGAAATTTTGAAGTGATTTATTGATAACCCTTTGAAGAGAAGGATGTCTTTGGAATCACTCAAAAATACCAAAATATGAGCAAGATATACTCCTTTGAAGTTCAAAACCCTAGCTCCTAGATCAAGAAACATGCCTTGAGGAACTTTGACAATTTTGAACAAACTTCTTGTACCAACACAAATTCTTTGTAAATATAAGTTGCTGAGGATGATAATGAGAACTCATAGCAACCACGACCACTTCCATATCTTGAGAATTGAGATAAATATGCATTTGTGACCAATGGGAACAAATCCTTATCCAAGCATGCCAACTTCTCCAATCAATCCCTTGTGCTTTTGAACCAAATTTGATAACCTTGAAATGTGGTGAACCAAAATAAACTTGCCATGCAACTCCTTCCAAAACAAATCCAATAGTGAGGTTTGAACTTCTCAAACTTTATTGACTAGGGAATGGAAATAAACTCATGAACCCATGAAGCAACTTGTTAAATCCCATTGCCTTTACCTATATTAGTAACAAGCGAGACAAACCAACATTGCATTTTATTAATTAAAAGGAGAAATCAAGACAAAAATATTCATTATCAAAAAAGAACACAAGTCAAGATGCTTGGTGATTCCTCAAAGAGCAAAGCTAAATATAGGGAGGAGAACCAAGAATCCTAATGTGATCTTATTGTAAATGAATCAACGTGGTATGATGAAGGGATCTTAGGGGAAAAATGGGGTACACTAGCTGCCCTTATTTAATTTTCTTTTATCCAGAGATACGAAGGTTAAAAATCTTTGTGTCGACGCGATCGATGATACTTAATTATAAAACAAACCCTATTTTTGGCCCTAAGATGCCATGTAATTCTTATGAATATGAGTGCACATGGACAACTCCAAAGGGACGCAAAACACCACTGGGGATGTAACAACAAAAAAATAAAGAAACAAGAGAGTAACCCAACCAGGAAAATAAATCACTGGTGGATTGAAAAGACCTAAATCATAGAGGATGGTAAAATGGTCAAAGGATACACCAACTCCTAATGGAGGTGAAGCTACCAACGTTTACTGAAGGCAAAGAGAAAGAATCATCGACGTTCACTGCCGATGACCTACCAACTTTCACTGAAGTTAGAGAGAAAAGAAATAACAACACTGACGTTCACTGACGGTGAGCTACCAACATTCACTAAAGGAAGAAGGAAAAGAAATATCATAGCATCGTCGTTCACTGACGATGAACTACCAACATTCACTAAGGGTAGCAAAAAGATAACAATCATCGATGTTCACTGCTGATGACCTACCAACTTTCACTAAAGGTAGGAAGAGAATATATCATAGCACTGCCGTTCACTGACGATGAACTACCAACGTTCACTAAAGGTAGCAAAAAGATAACAAACACCAACTTTCACTGATGTTGATCTACCAACTTTCACTGAAGGTAGAGAGAAAATATGTCATAGCATCGCCATTCATTGATGATGAACTACCAACGTTCACTGAGGGTAGCAAAAAGATAACAAGTTTCCCCAAAATTCTGGCATTTCACCTAGAAAGGGTCTCAACTTCTTCTTTAACCGAGGCACTCTGCCTGGAAAGGGTAATATATAAACTGTCTCAAATAAAGAGACTTCCACCTGCCAAGATTTCACAACAAATTGTCTTTGCGAATTTAAAAGTCTTTCCATCCACTGGCGTAAACCGACGACGGACTGCAAACTATCCACTCATAGAGGAGATAGCAAAAAAAAAGTTACGTCGACTTT